TAGAGGTTATTTATGAAAATAGTTTTGAAAGAAGTTTTGGGAGGAAGGAATTTTACGGAGAAGAAAGGGAATCGCGGGAAAATAATAGTTTTGGAAGAAGGGGGAACTTTGAAAATAAAAATCAGAGAAAATTTTCTTTCCCAAATTTTGAAAGAACAGCGAAACAGAATTTTATAAACAAAAGAAAGCAAGAGGGAGAATGTTGGAGCTGTGGAAGAAAGGGACATTTTAGGAATGATTTTAGGAATGAATTTAGAAATGAATTTTAGGAATGAATGAACCCAAAAAACGTATTGCAACGGGGAAACTAGGTCTGGTCGAGCTCTTCGGAGCAGGCTCGACTTTCAAAAGAAATGCTCCGGGAAAGATTAAAGAATTGAATAAGGAAAAAACGGGGATAAATAATAAGAGTGGCAGGATAAGTAGAATAAGTAGAATTAAGAATCTTTTCATTTATTATGGAACTTTGGACGGAAGAACATGTTTATTCAAGTTAGACACGGGCTCTGATGTCTGTTTAGTGAATAGGGAATTAGTAGGAAATAGAAAACGCTCTGAGTCAATTGACAGGTGTAGGTTAGTTTATCCGACAGGAGAGGAGGTTCCTATTAGGAATAAAGTTTATTGTCAAATTCAATTAAGAAGTTTCGAGGTAAAAATGTCGATGTTGGTGGTCGACATGGAAGATAAGTGTTTATTAGGAGCGGATTTCTTTGAGGCGATAGGAGCAGAACGAATTTTTGAATCTCTCTTTGGAAATTCGTCTTGTAGGACAAAACAGGGAAATTCTTTTTGTTCTCAAGTTTTGAATAAAGAAGAGAACGTTCCAGAAGACTTAGGAGAATTTTATGAGAGAAACTCAAAGGAGTTAGAAACTTCACAAAAAGAAGATTTTGTGGAATTCTTGAAAGAATTCGAGGATATTTTTGATGGACAAGTAGCAGCAGGAAATTGTGTTGAAGTTCAGCATGAAATTCAATTGTTAGATCCTACTCCGATTAAATAAGCTCCAAGAAGAATTCCTTTCAAAATGCGCGAAAAAGTAGAGAAAATTATGGGAGAAATGGAGAAGCAAGGAGTAATCGAGGAATCTTCTAGTCCATGGACCTCGCCGGTAGTTATAGTTCCAAAAAAAGATGATACAGTTAGATTTTGTGTTGACTTTAGGAAGTTGAATTCTGTTACGAAGAAAGATTCATATCCGTTGCCTAGAATAGATGATCTTTTAGACCGGTTGTCAGGAAATGAATGGTTTTCCACTTTAGATATGAAAAGTGGATATTGGCAAATTAAGATTCGTCCAGAAGATAGAGAGAAAACTGCTTTTTCTGTGGGGAATGGTTTGTGGCAATTCACAGTCATGCTTTTCGGTTTATGTAATGCACCTGCAACATTTGAACGATTTATGGAAAAAGTTTTGAAATCATTATTATCAAAAACTTGTTTAGTTTATTTGGATGATGTTACTGTTTTTGGAAAGACATTTGATGAAATGTTAGAAAATCTTAGGGAAGTTTTTCGAAGATTTCAGGATTCAAAGGAGGAGGGTCCCTAAGGCCTGTTTTCGGCATTCTTCAAAATTGGACCAAAATGGCTGGAATCACTTTCTTATACCATTGGAAATAATATTTAGTCAATTCCAGCTTAAACGGAAGTATTTAGAGTGTATACTTCAAGTATACATGGTGCATCAGAGCGCCCGTATCAAGCATTTCTTTGGAAAACTAAGCGTTTCTGAGAAAAATGTTTCAGATAGAAGTTGTATGGTTTCAAGGAGGACATAAGATGGTGTCATTGGTTTGACCTTGGATAGTCATTTGAAGGTCACGTGAATGTCGATTTCAATATTTTATATAGAGCCCCTATTTTTACATATCTTGTAGCTTATCTCGAGAGTTTTCCAAAACACTTATAACTAAGTCATTTTTCATTAAGTATTTTGCGAGGTATGAGGCTTCTTACAGATAGATTTGTAGAAACGTTACTTAAGGAGATCCGAGATTGAAATCATATTATTTATTTGTGTTGATTCCCCTCACGTGAACAGTAAAATCGTAAACGTAATCTTCCTTTAAGCCACATAGAGTGGGGTGTTGGACGTGAGTCCCCTTGCCTGTCACTTTTTATCAATTATCAATTCACGCTTAAGAAAAACCCGAAGTTTAGCCAGGGAAGGTACAACAACAAGCGGCGACTTAGCTTTGCAGATAATGCATTTATGTGTCATAGATGGTCTACTAAAAGGAATAGTTATTGTTTCGTTTGCAGGAACATTAATATTTTCTGCCATATTGGAAACGCCTAATTATAAGTTGCAATTCACTGTAGAACAAATCTGAATAATTATGCACGATTAAAAATTAAAGAAGGAGAAAAAATAAAGAAGAAAAACTCAAAAATAACAAGATATCTTTTCGCGTAATAAGAAAATCTCGAGAAGCAGCTTTGACAAGAAGTAGTTTTATTTTTATCGTAACCAGGTCCCTGGATACGCGCATACACACATTTTGTGTATCTCTGACATTAAGATGTGAGATCGGGTCCGATATAAGGCCATCGACATAAGCTGAACTTGGTCTATTGAATTAAAAGCTTAAGGGATCGTAGTTGCTCAAAAAGGTGCATACAGTTCTTAAAACAGTTCTTTTCAAAATTTCGTATTTAGCCTTGCGACAGAAAATACAGTCATTTCTTTCAGAAGTATTTGTAATAAGTGTTTCTACATGATCTACGATAGTGTTTTGGAAAGCTCTCGAGATAAGCTACAAGATATGTAAAAATAGGGGTTTCTATATAAAATATTGAAATCGGCATTCACGTGACTTTCAAATGACTATCCAAGGTCAAACCAATGACACCATCTTATGTCCCCCTTGAAACCATACAACTTTTCTGAAACATTTTTCTCAGAAACGCTTAGTTTTCCAAAAGAATGCTTGATACGGGCGCTCTGATACACCATGTATACTTGAAGTATACACTCTAAATACTTCCGTTTAGGCTGGAATTGACTAAATATTACTTCTAAGGGTATAAGGAAGTGATTCCAGCCATTTTGGTCTAATTTTGAAGGATGCCGAAAACAGGCCTTAGGGACCTTCCTCCTTTAAAGGTCAATCCGGCAAAATGTAATCTTTTTGAGAGGCAAGTTAAATACTTAGGTCATATAATTTCTTCAGAAGGAATCGCAACAGATCCCGAAAAGACTGCTGCGGTAAAAAAATGGTCAATTCCTAAGAATAAAAAGCAAGTGAGAAGTTTTCTAGGATTTTTTTCTTATTACAGGAAGTTCGTCGAAGGATTTTCTTCAATTGCAAAACCTCTCTACTGATTGACAGAAGAACGAATAAAATTTCATTGGACTTCTCAGTGTCAGGAAGCTTTTAATATCCTGAATGTTCTGACATCTTCACCGGTTCTATCTTTTCCAAAAGAAGGAGATTTCATTTTGGACACCGATGCTTCGAATCATGGTATTGGTGCAATACTTTCTCAAGTTCAAGAAGGTGATCGCTTATTTTAGTCGTGTTTTGAGTAAAACGGAAAGAAATTATTTTGTGATTCGAAGAGAATTATTAGTTGTGGTGGATTCGATCAAATCTTTTCATCACTATTTGTTCGGACGGAATTTTTTGGTAAGGACAGATCATTCATCGTTGAAATGGTTAAGGCAGGATACCACCTTTGCACTTTAATAAAATTGAAAATTTTTTTTTGTTCTTAAAGTACTCTTTCAAGTGATAGAATTGAAATTCATTCATTAGAAAGGTGGCCGAAACCTTTTTTCTTGTGTAAAAACCGGTTTGGAGCAGAGCGCTCTCGGCGCGTTTCTTGGGCTGCCGAACGCACGCACACTGTTTGTCTCATATACAATTTACCAACCATATTACGGGCCCTTTTAGTTCCAAATAGTGAAATAGTGATAGTAGTAGATGTCGCTAGTTAGGATTTTCAGTATAATATAACATAGATACTTCTATATTTTATATAGTTCATAACGAATTGGTCGTGTAAACATCATTCACGTGTTGCTTGGTTGTGTAACGTCTTTTACGTGTTTCTTTCGAATGTTTATGCATTATTCATCATGAGGAAGACAAAAGTAGAGGAGAGAAAAGGGACAAAAGCAGAAAATAGGCGTGCCTCGAAACCGAAACACAGCAAAAAGAAGCCGCAGAAACGATACGTGTTAGAAGGAGAAAGTGAGAATGTCAGTACATCGGCAAAGAAACTGAAACAGAGTGAAGATGAATATCATATCAATGTGGACGCAACTATTGGTTATCGTTTCATCGATTTTGTGACTGTTTTTGCAGCAATGTCTGAATTTCTAGTGTGCAAAGTGTGTAAATCTTCCGTAAAGTTTCAAGAAGCAAGTATTCGAGGACTAGATTTCAAAATTGCAATTCTTTGTGAACAATGCCGAAATATATAAAGTCGTGTCCCGTCATAAATAATCATGCATATGATATAAATCGTCGTATAGTTTTTGTTATGCGATTGCTCGGTATTGGTGTAAATGGAATTAAAAAATTCTGTTCATTCATGTGTCCACCACATTCAGTATTCCAGTCATTTTATGACAAAATCGTTTCGACTATTTCTATGGCTATCGCAGCCGTACGAGACAAATCAATGAAGAACGCAGCTGCTAAAGAGAAAGAATTGTCAGTACAGAAGGGACTTACAGAAGGGATAGTAGTTTCAGGCGACGGTACGTGGAAGAAGAGGGGATTCTCGTCTTTATTAGGCGTTACGTCATTGATAGGACGGTGCACCGGGAAAGTCATTGATGTTAATGTAAAGTCGAAAATATGTAATCAATGCAATTACTGGAAAGGAAAAGAAGGAACGGCAGAATACGAAGAATGGGCTGCGACACACGAAGATAGCTGTCAAAAAAATCACGAGGGATCGGCTGGAAAAATGGAGGTTGACGCAATTATTGAAATGTTTCAACGATCAGACAAACTCCATAGTTTGAAATATAGTTACTAGATAGGGGATGGAGACAGTAAAACATATAAAGGTATTTTAGACTCGAAACCATATGAAAATTTGGACGTTAAGAAAAAAGAATGTATCGACCACGTTCAAAAAAGGATGGGAACGCGATTTCGGAATTTAAAAAAAAATGTACGAGGTATTGGTGGCAGAGGCAAGCTAACTGGAAAATTAATTGACGATCTATCACTATATTTTGGTTTAGCAATACGCAGGAATCATGATTCAATTGTAAACATGAAGAAAGAAATATGGGCCACGCTTTATCATAAGATTTCTACGGACGACAATTCGCAGCACGATAGATGTCCAGATGGCGAAAATTCCTGGTGCTCATGGAAACAGGCTAAAGTTCGCAACGAACTCGACAATTATCAACACAAACCAGCAATGAAAGATGAAGTTTTCAATGCTGTTAAACCCATTTATGAAGAATTGAGTCGCGATGAACTATTATCTCGGTGCTTGGGTGGGTTTACGCAGAACAGCAACGAGTGCTTCAATTCTGTTCTGTGGGCTCTCGCTCCTAAATCTATGTCCAGTGGCAAAAAAATTGTTGACATTGCTGCTGATATTGCAGTATGTAATTTTAACGATGGGTTACACAGCATTATGGACATTATGCAAACTTTGAACCTGCCTATAAGTAAAAGTTGCTATACTTTTTGTGTATAAGTCGATAATTATCGCATTCAGAGAGTGGAAGATTCGATGACTGAAGCTGTTCGAGAGGCTAGAAGAAGTGGTATTTCTGCTCGCAAGCTTACTAATGAAGAGGATATAGATGCTGAAGGAGTATTGTATGGCGCAGGCATTGCAGATTGACGGTTAGTTGAAAATATTTACTAGTTATATCTATATAAAACTTTAAACGCGTTTTTCTTGAAACGATGTTTTTCAAATCGGCGTGTCAGATTACTCTTACAATTTTCAGCGGATTGACTTGAAACTTTGCACAATTCTTCCCCGTGGTATAATCTAATGATGTACGTAGGACTTTTGCTGTAGCGTTGTTATTTTTTTTTGGTGCACAATTTTATAAACTTTTTTACCCTAAGAAATTGACCTTTTTGTTAAAATGACCGCCATTTTCTTAAAAATCGAAATTTCGTAAAATCCTTACGTACAACATTAAAAAATATTGTTGTTAATAGGAACATTCTTTGGTTTTTTTTTCTAGGAGCCACGTACAGAGCGGAATTTGACACGCCGTCTAACGGTGTTCCTCCAAAGGAATGTATTTTAACGCCACCTACAAGAGATTATTTTTGACCTTTTCAGTTTCAAAAAATGTGTAATTACAGATTAAAGTTACATTAATGAGTGACTAAAACCGATTTTGTTTCTGCGCACTCCTTGTATGCAAAAAAATTCATGAAAACCGCCTCCAAAATCGCAGTCAAAGGTGGTATCCTGCCTTAATGTCATTCAAAGAATTAGAAGGTCAATTAGCACGATGGATGGAGAGACTGCAACAGTATGATTTCGAAATTCTTCATCGAAAGGGGAAGCTACATAAGAATGCAGACGGTTTGTCTAGACGATCTTGTTCAGAAGAAAATTATAAGTATTATTCCAGGATAGAAGTGAAAGTTAAAAATCAGGAATGTGAATCAGTTGCACGAATAAGTTTAAATGAAAATTTTAATCAGAATTGGTGGAAGGAACAGCTTAACCCCTTGACTGTGGATGATGTGTATAGCCGTATGAAAAAGTCGTGCCACCAGTGTGGATGACGTGTATACACGCATCGAAGAAAAAAATAGTAAAACTATTGTTTTTTGCATACAGGTGGGTATCTATGTTTTTGGAGTCGCTGAATCCGAATTTAATATCAAAATTTCGAAATTCAAAATGACGGATCCAATATGGCGAGTCAAAATTATAAAAATAATCGGATTTTTATGAAAGTGAGTATCTATGTTTTTGGGGTCGCTGAATCCGAATTTGATATCAAAATTTCGAAATTCAAAATGGCGGATCCAACATGGCGAGTTAAAATTATAAAAATCATGAAAATCTGATTTTCAAAATTTATATCCGCCATTTTTTATTTTAAAATTTTGATATCAAATTTGGATTCAGCGATCCCAAAAACATATAAATACCCACTTTCATAAATACCCGATTATTTACATAATTTTGACCCACCATATTGGATCTGCCATTTTGAATTTCGGAATTTTGATATCAAATTTGGATTCAGCGACTCCAAAAACCCTTATTATAAAAATATCATAAAGAAAATTTGACATTTTTTCCAACACAAAAATGGCACTACATTTCTGTCTCCACAGTCAAGGGGGGTTAATGATCCAAGCATTTCAGCAATTCTTTTGGTAAAAGAATCCGATAGATGTCCTCCTACTCGGGAGGAGATGGCGAATGGAGATTTTTCTTCAAAAATTTATTTATCTTACTGGGACATTTTAATTGTTGAGAATGGAATTCTTCATAGAAAATGGCAAGCACCCAATCTCAAAGGAAGTATTTATTCTTCAAGTTATTGTTCCACGTTCGGAAGTTAAACGAATTTTGGAAGAGGCACACGACGCTGCTCCTTCTGGAGGACATTTTGGTATTAATAAAACTTTAGGGAAAATTCGAAAACGTTTTTATTGGGCAACATGTAAAAAGGATGTTGAAGATTGGTGTAGAACTTATAGGATTTGTGTAGCCAAAAAGGGGCCTTCAGATAAAGGAAAATCTCCTCTTCAGATTTTCAATGTTGGAACTCCTTTTGAACGACTTCGGATGGATATACTTGGTCCGCTGTCAATAACTTCTTCAGGAAATAAGTATCTTCTAGTTATAGTTGATTGTTTTATAAAATGGGTTGAAGCTTTTCCTTTGAAAAATATCAGGGCGAACACCGTAGCTGAAGTATTCGTCAGTCAGGTAATTTCGAGATACGGTGTGCCTTTAGAAATTCACATTGATCAGGGAAGAAATTTTGAATCACAGTTGTTTAAGAAACTTTCAGAAATGTTAGGAATTAGAAAGACAAGGACTACTCTTCACCCTCAATCTGATGCGTAAGTCGAACGTCAACATCAAACGATTCTTCAGTATTTGTCCAAGTTTCTTGACGAAAATCAGAAAAATTGGGATAAATGGATTCCGTTATTTCTTTTAGCATTTAGATCCGCAAAACATGAAACAACGGGGATAACTTCGGCAGAATTGAATTTCGGAGGAGATTTAAGGTTACCTTTAGATTTACTTCGTGGAACTTCTCCGAAAGATTGTGTCACGAACTTTAGAGATTATGTTTCTGATTTAAAAGGAAAATTAGATGAAGTTTATCAAAGTATTAGGCAGAAAATGACTCTAAATTCTGAAAAGATTAAAAGGTGGTATGATCAGGGAGCTAGGAAATGTTTATTTGAAGAAGGTCAGAAAGTTTGGTTTTTCAATCCACAAAGAAAAATTGGGAAAGCTCCAAAGTTACAAAGTAATTGGGAAGGACCTTATGAAATAGTAAAACGGTTGAATGAAGTAGTTTATTGTATTAGGGAATCGAGTAAGAGCAGAAATAAAGTAGTACATGCAGATAGGTTAGCTTCTTTTAGTGAGAGACAGGAATAGGAAAGACACCAGAGACCTGTAAACTTTTAATGATAAAATTATTTAGAACAAAATCTTGCGTTCATTTTCTTTACTTTAAGGTTTAATTTTGAAGAACGGTTTCGGAAGACCACATCCGGGAAAAAGAAAAGAGAGAAGGCTGCTTCCCCCACGGTTTTTGATCGTGGTTTTTCCGTGGGGCTTTGGGCGAATGCCGAGGCAGGGACTCGGGGTTTTTTTATAAAAGAACGTTGGGTCCACGGTACTTCTTCCTCCTCTTGTCCGAAGAGGAGCTAAGGAGGAGACGGACGTGGGAGCAAAAGAGAAACGGATCGTTTTTAGAAAGGCCTTGGAGATGGTTTACTTCCTGGAGGACGAAGATAAGAGTGGTGCTCTGGGAACAAGGAGTCAAATTCCTCGGAACCCTTTGATTGAGAACATGGAGTTCGGTAACCTGTAGCAGCAGCTCAGGGTAGAACAAGTACCATGGAATTCTCTGGAGTCAAAGAAGAGGATGACCTTGCTCAGGAGAATTGTCGGGACGACAATTTGTAGAGAGAGGGAGCAGTGTTGTGTACGAGCCACAAGGAGTGTGGAAGCGTCCGTTGTCCGCGAACTTTAGGCATATGGATTTTGACAGTCGAAGGATGTTTGTCTGGACGACGGGAGTTTGTTGAAAAACAACAGCAGAGAGTCTGTCACGAGCCGTCGCCGCGAGCATACGTGACTTAGACGTTTCTTCTTAATATCAAGAGGCACGGTAGTGCCTCGCGCCAAGTTCAAGTGCAACGAAGTTGCGCCCGAACGGCGCGAGGCACACCGTGCCTATTATACGCGAAACTCCGAGTGAAACGAGGTGAGATTTTCATATCTCAGCAATGGCTGAACCGATCGACGTTTTTTAGTCCCAATCGATTCATCTTTAAAAAATAGGAAGAAAAGTGTTCTTGTGCTTTTTGTGTACGTTGTCTCTAAGTGGAGATATTTTAAGATAAAGTCTGAATCATGGAAAATTTCGATTCAGTAAGAAACGTCGGACGCAAAGGAGTGGGGCAAAACGTGCACATTGCTTTCCCGATACCAGGGGCGCTACGAGAGTGCTGAAGAAGCAAAGAGCAGCGAGTGCGAGTGAGCAAGTGATAGAGAGTAAGAGAGAGAAAAATATTGCTAGAATACAGGAGGTGAAAATGTGTGACAGAGAGAAAGAGAGCGAGAGCGAGAGAGAGAGAGAACGGGAGAGAGAACGGGAGAGAGAACGGGAGAGAGAACGGGAGAGAGAACGGGAGAGAGAACGGGAGAGAGAACGGGAGAGAGAACGGAAGAGAGAACGGGAGAGAGAACGGGAGAGAGAACGGGAGAAAGAACGGGAGAGAGAACAGGAGAGAGAACAGGAGAGAGAACGGGAGAGAGAACGGAAGAGAGAACGGGAGAAAGAGCGAGAGCGAGAGAGAGACAGAGAGAGAGAGAGAGAGAGAGGGAGAGAGAGAGAGAGAGAGAGAGAGAGAGAGAGAGAGAGAGAGAGAGAGAGAGAGAGAGAGGGAGGGAGGGAGGGTGGGAACAGGCGAGAAAGAGAACGGGCGAGAGGGATGAAAGAGAGAGGCATACAAAGGTGAGAATGTTGGTATGCGTTGGTATGTTATGACGCACGTCATTTGATTGCCGATCAGCTGATGCTAAGCAGACGATGTGATGAGCTATGCCATCGAAAAATCAATACCGGTGTTTATTGACTCGTCGTCCAGGGTGATCGCCTTTCAATTACTGTGAATTACGATGAAGATAATAAAAAAAAGCGCCAAGTACAAGCACAACATGTATTGTGTTATTTTAAAAAATTTCAAATTCAAATTATTTTTTTAAGGTATATATGTGTACATAACATAAGTTTCTATAAGTAAAACTTATACTATATACATACGTATCTACATAGATATATACGTATGTACATACGTACATACATACGTAAATATTATATACATACATATGTATGTATATACGTATGTACGTATATACGTATGTACATACGTACACACGTACATACATACATACATATGTACATACAAATGTTCATACACATGTAAATACTTATTCAGATGTACGTAAATACTTACGTATATACGTACAAACATATGTATATATACATACGTACAAACATACATAAACATTTTTTAGGTATTGAAGGTCCGCGTCCACGTCCACATGTACGACAATATTTTCGAATTGCTTAGCTTTTCCCAGCATTTGTGCCTCTTGGTATATATGTTTACATATTCATAATAACATACATATACACGTATATTATTATTACGAGTAAAACTTATAATTATAATAAAACTCTGCAACACTTTTTTACTGTACAAAAGAAGTGATATATTAGAACAATAGCGCCAACTGAGAAACCTAACATATATATATCAGGTGTAGTAAAAAGAAATCCATTATTTTTCCAATAGATGGCTTTCCAATAGATGGCTTTAATTATCTGTATCTCGCGTTGTATAAGTCCGATCGGGTTCCACTAGATGGCGTTAGAAAGATGAGATTTCGTACTAAAAAAACTTTTGTGACAGTTTTGTGATTAGTTGACTCAGTTTTGTTTGAGCGCGTCAAAGATGGACACTAGTAAAGAGAAAATACGCTATATTTTACAGTTTTTCTTCGATAAAGGCGAAAACGCAAGCCAGGCGGCTGAAAATGTAAATAGTGTTTATGGTCCTGATATTGTAACAGCCAATCACGCGCAATTTTGGTTTCGTCG